TCGGGAACCGAACAACAGAGCATTCAGGACTTTTAGTGCTGCAATTGTATTCGGTGTGCAAGTACCCAGATAGCCTGTTCATGGAATTAAAGACTTTGGCTTCATGGCGATTATACTGTATTCGTGTGGTCTGAGCGCCATTCGCTTAATAATGTGCGCTCAGACCTGAGCTGTCTGGGATATGTTAAATGTATAGTTTTAATGTAATGTGTCTTACATGGTGTATTTTAACAGTAATGCTTGTTTTAGTATCCTCACGTGCATAATGGCGATTTGCCTTTGTCTTGGGAGATAATTGAATTACTTCTCAATTATCTCCCAGGGCAGAGGGGAGGAAGCCAGGATGCATTGTGGGAATATATTTGTCTGCTTGTCTGTCCCTTGCCACAGTCTCCCATTTGGTCCCCTAGGGGAGTGTCCACCAGGTGGGAGACCTGCATACAGGGCCGGCGCTACCTGTAAGGCGACCTAGGCGGCCGCCTAGGGCGCAACTTAGCAGGGGGCGCCGGCCCTGCTACTGCCTCCAACTCCAAGTAAGACCTCAAGCTCAGACCGGCGCCGGTGGATGGCGGCGCTGCCGCCGGCAATTGATGCACCGGCAAATCATGGGCGGGCGGGTGCGAGGGAGGGAGGGAGGGAGAGAGGGCGTGCGGATGCGAGGGAGGGAGGGAGAGAGGGCGGGCGGATGCGAGGGAGGGAGGGAGGGAGAGAGGGCGGGCGGATGCGAGGGAGGGAGGGAGAGAGGGCGGGCGGCCGGTGCGGCACTCCTCTTCATGCTGTGCCGCCTGAGCGCTACAGAAAGCCGCAGAGAGACTCGACCGCCCATGTGAGACCGCCCACGGGCCACGGCCCACCCCACAAGACCACCCATCATGCAACAGTGAAGGTGGGTGGTCTCTCGGGGTCAGGACAGGTCACACAGCAGAGCCTCTACCGACCTCCATGATCCTCCATTGAGCACGCTTGAGGGGGGATTTTAAAGTGGTAAGGTGCCCACTTGAAGTCCTCCTGTAGTTGTTTCCTGCTTCCCCAGCCTCCAGAGCCTGTATTGGACCAGGAGCCAGACTGCAGCCAGAGATCATCCTTATCTGTGGTAAGTAGGAAATCCAATATTTTTATTCTTTTGTAATATTTATTACATAACTATTTTTACTTCACATTAAAAGGACACTATAGTTCCAGAACCAATACAGTTTAATGTAGTGGTTCTGGTGTCTATAGCCTGTCGCTGCAGGCAGTGGCGTACACATGACCCATGGGGCCCCGTTGCAAAAATTGATCCGTGGCCCTCCCCCCCGCGCTTACTCGGCGCGGGTCGGGGTCGCAACACATGGTGGCGGGCACCTGGTCGCAGGGGTTGCAGGGCTGCGACCCCGCGACCGCAGTATGCACACACACTTAAAGGACCACTACAGACACCCAGATCACATCAGCTCAATGAAGTGGTCTGGGTGCCAGGTCCCTCTAGTTTTAACCCTGCAGCTGAAAACATAGCCGTTTCAGAGAAACTGAGGGTTAATCCAGCCTCTGGTGGCTGTCTCATTGACAGCTGCTAGAGGAGCTTCCGCGATTCTCACTGTGAAAATCACAGTGAGAAGACACTGAACGTCCATAGGAAAGCATTGAGTAATGCTTTCCTATGGGCGGTTTAAATGCGCGCGCGCCTCTTGCCGCGCATGTGCATTTCGGAGCTGAGAGGCGGACACTGGGGAGTCCAAAGCTGGAGAAAGGTAAATGCTGAAGACACACACACACACTCTCACGAACAGACACATACACACTAGCTAACAGACACACACATTTACTGACAGAGACACACTCAGTGACAGACATACACTTTCACTGACAAACACACACTCACTAACAGACAAACACACTCAGTAACAGACACACACAGTAACACACTCACTAGCAGACACACACCCAATAACAGACACATTCACTGACACACACACTAACACACACACACACTAACATACACACACTAACACACTCTAACACACACACACACACTCTAACACACACTAACACACACACACACACTAACACACATACACTAACATACACACACACTAACATACACACACACTAACACACACATACACTAACACACACACACATTTCAGAGTAAAGATACTGTTTGCAGTACTGGTGTTAAAGGATCACTATAGTGTCAGGAAAACAAAGTGGTTTTCCTGACACTATAGTGCCCTGAGGGTGCCCCCACCCTCAGGGTCCCCCTCCCGTGGCGCTGAAAGGGGTTAAAACCCCTTCAGAAGCTTACCTTATTCCAGCGCCTCCCCTCCACCTCAAGTGCCGCACGCGCATTCAAATTGTCCATAGGAATGCTTTCCTATGGACGCTCTGCGCGATGGAGGCATTAAATGCCTACAGCGTTGCAGATGCGCCTCTATTAAGGCTGTCCGGAAGATTTAACCGCAAATGTAATCATTGAGATGAAGTAGACGGGGTGACTATAGTGTCCATTTAAGCGTCTCCACGCCCTGCGTGGAGGAGCTTAAAGGGACACTCCAGGCACCCAGACCACTTGTGCCAACTCCCACTACCCTTGACCCTGCAAGTGTAATTGCAGTTTTCATAAACTGCAATAGTTACCTTGCAGGGTTAAGTCCGCCTCTAGTGTTAGACAGCTGCTAGAGGGACTTCCATGTTCTTATAACACGAAAAGTGTGTTTTACGACTCTGTGAGGGCCTCCAGCGTCGCCGAAATCCCTATGGGGAGGTCTAATGCGCGTGCGTGGCCATTGCCGTTCATGCGCATTAGGTCTCCCCCACTGGCTGACGTTGGGGAGGAGAGTAGGCAGAGTCTGCCCCTCGGAGCTGGACTCCGGTCAGCAACTTGGGGTGGGAGGGAGAGGGTTACTACAGGGTCCTGCAGTGCCAGGAAAACTAATATGTTTTCCTGGCACTGGAGAGTCCCTTTAACGTTCCCATATAGATGCATTGATTCATTGCATCTGTATGAGGAGATGCTTTTTGGTGCAGTGTTTTGCTGCACAGGCACAATAGCCTCCCAATGCAAAGGTTAATGATCTGTGTGGGGGAAAAACGTAATATCGCTTTATGACCACACACAGAGGTTGGGGGGGGGGGGGGGTGCTCTAATGTAACAGGATACAGGTGTATAGTGTTCCTGACGATATAGTGTTCCTTTAAGCTGCTCTCCACCTCCACTTCATCAACCGTGCCCACTCTTGCGTAATGCAGAGATCTTCTGGCTTTTGGCTGATGTAGTGAAGGTAGGGCCATGTAAGGTAAGAAGTCAAACTGCTCTAATACGGTTTGACTACTTACATGGGGGGTGATGTCATGTCAGACCACTATGCTATGTAGTGGTAATGGTTCATAAAAAATGTCTCTTTAATGAAATGTACAATTTGAACTATGTTTTATTAGGTTCATTTCTAAAAGTGTGAATTTTTGGGAATCAAAATGAATGTCACAGTAGCCAAATGGTGGGGTGGGGGAATGGGGATATTGGGGAACTGTAACATAGTGATGGATATCGCCATATGGTGTAACTGAATCCAAATTTATTTATTTTTGCTAGTAGTGGTGATTTTAAGTAGCTTCATAAAATTTAAAACTGGATTTATTTTGTGCACTGTTCCCTAATCTGTATTTTGAGGATGAAACATGGTCACTTCAGTAGCGTGCCAACAAGGGGCGATAGCAATAGTTCAGAGGGGGTACACACAGTAACTACCCATTTCATTTTGTTGCATGGACCCAGATAGCAGATTGAATTACTTTGTAATGTGACTGACCATGTATGACTGTAGTTGAATGTTTGTGACTGTGTGTAATTGTGTAATTATGTTGTGACGCTGTATGATTGTGTGTCTGCATGGGGGGTGCTAGCTCTCACTTGCCCTCTCCATTTTTAATTCTTCATGTTTACATCAACTGCTCTCATACATACACATATATTTTTGCGTCTTTCACACTCCCACACGTGCGCACATATGTACAGTAGGTTTCTAAATGATTTTCAGGTATTATTGTGGTTTAATGATCATCAAAGAGAATATTAATTGAATATTAATAATTTTTGATGTACATTTATTCTACAATAGTTTTTTTGATAATTGAACAAGATGTCTGCACCACGAAAGAAATTGTCTGGTGCTGCTTTTCGAAAGAAAAGAAGGCTCCAAGAAGAAGACACTTCTAAGATGGCTGGATCATTAAATAGGTTCTTTAAACCTGATCCAGTACTGAAAGCTGTAAGCGAGACTAAAGAGAATCGTGAAGCTGTAGATGTCGAACCACACCCTTCTACTTCAACTACTACTGTGGGCGAACATTCTTTGGGCATAGAAAGTGATACAAACACCGAGGAAGAGAGTTCACCGAAATCATCATCATCATCATCAGAAGATGAAAATGCAAAAAGCACGCTGGCAGACCTCTTTGATCCAGCTGACTGGCCTGAAATGCTTACTAGCTCACTAAAAGAAACCATCGTTCTGAAAGGTCCGGCAAAGCCAAAAGAGCACTTTGCATTTCCTAAAGATGCATCCAAGAGACGGTTTACATCAACCCACTATAGACGGTGCCTTGGAAATGGTGAAGTGCATGTTAGAAAGTGGCTTAGTTATTCTCCTAGACTGGACAAAATATTTTGCTTTTGTTGTAAACTCTTTACAACTACGAAAATGAGCCTGACTACGGGAGGCTACAATGATTGGAAAAATTTGTCCCAATGTCTGGCTACACATGAAGTGTCTCCATCTCACTTCACTGCTATGGGAAACTGGACAGAACTGTTAACAAGGCTTGGGTCAGGAAGTACTATTGACCATTCATACCAAAGATTATTGGCAACTGAAACGCAGCACTGGCAGAATGTTCTTCAGCAAAGTTCTTCAAAGCCAGTCCATTTACTTACCAGATGTTGTGGAACTTTTGGAATCAATCAAGACAATTTTTCAATCTTATCGGACAGATGATGGTTTTGAGGATTTACTTAAAGAAGCATGAGAGCTAGCAGTGGAAATGGAAATAGACCCAGTGTTCCCCCCTCAAGTACATCAGACAAGGGGAAAAAAAAAAGGTTATTTTTGTATGAGGTTCCAGATGACCCTATCTTAGAACCTAAAAATAAATTTAAAGTGGAATGTTTCTTCACAATATTAGACACAACAATAAAATCTGTACATGAAAGATATGAACAGCTTAAATTTCATTCCACGCATTTTCTATTTTTGTATGACATCCACAAGCTAAAAGATGTGCAAAAAGAAGAACTCCTGCAGTTCTGCATGGAATTGCAGAATGTCTTAACCGATGTAAAATCAAAGGAGTCTGATGTAGATGGAAGGCAACTGTGTGAAGAACTTGCTGTATTGGCTCCTGTTATAAAACCTACGATGACACCTGTTGATATTTTGGCCTATGCAGTGAGGAATGGATTTGCTCCAAATGTGGCAATTGCACTTCGAATTATGTTGACCTTACCAATCACTGTTGCCACAGGTGAGCGAAGCTTTTCGAAACTGAAAATTATAAAAAATTATCTTCGTTCTTCAATGTCCCAAGAACAGCTTGTGGGACTTGCCATGATAGCAATAGAAAATCGGACGGCACAGGAGATTGACTTTGAAACATTACTGAAGGACTTTGCGAATGCCAAAGCAAGAAAAGTTAAATTTAATTAGATAGAATAACTGTTAGAAAGTATTTAAGCTGTTTACAAAGTTGTTTAGCACTTAAATTGTATGCTGCATTTATGTATTTATTTTGCTATGTATTTGGGGTTCTTTGACCATACCATTTCTATTGTTGCACTTATATTATGCAAGTATGCCACTATAATATAAATGTGGCCATGTGTTTTTCTCTTAACAACTGTATGTTGTATTGCACTTTCAGAATGTTAATGTATTAAACTATTTAAATTTGCACTTTATTTTACATTGTTGCCTTTTGTGCAATTTGTCAGTGTCTTGAACCAAAAGGTAGGTGTGGGGGTGGGGGTAGGGGGGGGGGGCGTCAATTTTTATTTTGCCTAGGGCGGCATAAATCCTTGCACCGGCCCTGGGTGTGAGTTCGGTAATCCCAACCTGCATATGGAATATGCTTCCTCCTTGTTCACTTTTGTTCCTTGTTGGTCTGTGACTGGCCCTTTTTGACCCCAAATGAATTTCTTTGGAAGATTCATGAGAAAGATACAGCAGGTTGTTTTGACAGAAAGAAAGAGGGAAAAGGTATGTTGTATCAGTCACAAGGACTGTGAGCCTAAGCAGGCGAGACAAAGAAATTTGGGAGGTGATAGGAGATTGAATCAGTTTTAGAGGCAAAGGTAGAGGATTTGATCAAAGGGTCTAACTTTTGTAGAGGAAGCAGCTTCAGCATTGGTGGAACACACTGTTCTAATTGTGTATAGCAGGGTCACTGGATAAATGAGTGCCCAAACCCACCCCCACAGATTCCTCAATACAAACCACAAAATCCACAACCTAAACACACACCCAACAATCCCAGCCTAATACACAGATGGTTCATGTTTTTAATATTTTATATAGTTTTAGGTGTTAATCCAAGAGTATTGAATTATTTGGGATTATTAAAGTAATTAATTTTGAGTATCAAATCAAGGTTCAAGTTTAGGAACAGAGTTTTATTGGGAATGTATATGTATATGTGAGCAGTGGCGTACTAAGGGGGGGGCGGAGGGGGCGGTCCGCCCCGGGTGCCACCAGGGTGGGGGGTGCCATGACCAGCCCCGCCGCCCCCCCCATGCTGCAGCCGCCCGAGCGCCTGTAGAGAGCCTCAGGCGGCTGCAGCTTTGCCCGGGCGGTGCGTCCATGAGGGCGGACCGCACCGCCCGGGCGCAGCATGGGGAGAGGGGCTGAAAGGAGGGAGCGCTCAGCGCTCCCTCCTGTCAGCTCCCTCACTGCAGCATGGTCCAACGGGTACAGAGAGCAGCTGTCTCCTGTACCCGGCCGGACTAACAGGAAGTGCACACTGAGTGCTGGGTGAGGAGGAGAAAGGGGGGGTGAGGAGGAGAAAGGAGGGGGGTGAGAGAGAAGGAGGGGGAGGGTGAGGTAAGTGAGAGAGAAATTAGGGGGGAGAGATATTAGGAGGGTGGGTGAGAAAGAGAAAGGAGGGTGAGAGAGAAATTAGGAGGGGGGAAAGAAATTAGAGGGGGGAGAGATATTAGAGGGGGAAAGAAATGGGGGAGAGAAATTAGGAGGGTGGTGAGAGAGAACAGAGGGGGGAAGAGAAATTAGGAGGGGGGAAGAGAAATTAGGAAGAGAGAGAAATTGAAATTAGGAGGGGGGAAGAGATATTAGGAGGGGGGAAAGAGAAATTAGGGGGGGAGAGAAATTAGTAGGGGGGTGAGAGAGAAATTAGGAGGGGGGAAAGAGAAATTAGGGGGGGAGAGAAATTAGGAGGGGGGTGAGAGAGAAATTGGGAGGAGGAGAAGGAAATTGGAGCGGGAGGAGAGATTGACATTCATCACATACACACAATGCACCCCTTGCACACAGAAAAACACACAATGCATTACACACAGACACACATACACAAGCAATGCAACCGTTACACACAATGCATCCCTTACACACACAGAAACACACAATGCATTCATTACACACACTCAATGCACCCCTTACACACATTCAATGCATCCCATACATCCCATACATACACAGAAACACACCTTGCAGCCCTTACACATACAAACACAATTTCACACAATGCATTCCTTACACACATATCAGGACATCCCACACACTCCACCCCCTGTGAACAAACTCATTGGTGGAACATGAAGGTGGACCCTGGGACCCAGACCTTGAGCTGTGTAAAGGACCCCAAAAAAATGGAGCTGCTTCCCGTTCTCCCAGAACATTGATTTTTGTGACCACAGTTACAAACCGCCTCCAGAGAGCCTGTTCTGCACCAGACCAGTGGAGCCAGACTGCAGCTAGAGCCCATCATCATCCTCATCTCGTTGTAAGTAGGCAATCTAGTATATTATTCGTGGCACTAATCTCTAATTTACCTCACATTAAAGAAACACCATAGTCCCCAGAACCACTGCAGCTTAATGTAGTGGTTCTGGTGTCTATAGCCTGTCCCTGCAGGCCTTTTAATGTAAACACGGCGGCACTGCAGCACTGGTGTTAGTTAACATGGCATATCATATGGGTGGGGCATTGTGATGTCACATGGGGGGGCGGCAAACTTTACTTTTGCCTAGGGTGGCAAAAATCCTTGCACCGGCCCTGGCTGGAGGGGGCTGTGTGAGCTGTGGCCGCACAGTGTCCCATGGTAGTTAGGGTGCCATGAGGCCAGTACAGCTCACACAAGCAAACAGCTGATAAACTGGCCGCACGGAGGAAATGTGTATGTGTGACTGTCTGCCTGTGAATGTGTGTGACTGTCTGCCTGTAACTGAGTGTGTGACTGTCTGCCTGTAAATGTGTGTGTGTGGGGCTGCAGGGATTTTGTAGAAGGGGGCGGGGGGTTTGTATTGGGACAGGACTCTTTATAAGGGGGGATAAGCAGGGGATTTGTGGAAGGGGGTTGCGGGGGTTTTGTAGACGGGGCAGTACAGGATTTGTAGAAGGGGCAGGACAGAGGTTTTGTAGGAGGGGCGGGGCAGGACAAGGGTTTTGTAGGAGGGGCTGACAGCGGTTTTGCGAAGTTTACAAATTGTAAAAAAAAAGAAAGAAAACCTTTAACATTTTTTACAGGTTTTTTTTTGGGTGGTGGGTGCCAAGCACAGGATCCGCCCCGGGTGCCAAATGCTCTAGGTACGCCCCTGTATGTGAGTGTTTTAATATTCATCCTAACAAGCATTTCTATAGAGTGAGTGCTTCTCTCATCCGTACAAAGGCATTCCAAAGGGGTATTATGTAAAACTTCATAGAAGACAGATTGCATAAAATATAAGCAAATATAAGAGAAGTACATGTTACACAAGTTAAGGGTTTAACCTTAATCTCTAATTTAAGTTTTAGCCTATGTCCTGTCCCGTCTTTATTCAAATGCTTATCTTTTACTGTCAGACAAGTATGTACTATTAACTACAGGGAAGCGATAAATCTCACTGCTTGCGTGACAAACTGTGTATAAATGCTAGCCCTGAAAATATACTCACTGAGAATCTTGTATGTATCAATATGATGTAAATGTAATAATGTGTGGGTTTCAATATGCCTTATATCTGGAGTTTATTAATTCATTATAAACACTTCACTTGTGAGACTTTATATTACAGAAAATATTTTCTTTTCTTTTTTTTTTTATTCTTTATTTATTCCAGTACAAGACATCACAAGCAGTTCACATACATCAACTCGTCGATCAGCATAAACAAGCACATACACTGAGATTATAACACTTTACATTTGCAAAATGAATTAACAATCAAGTTCACCCAAATCCCGCCATCAGAGATCGCTAAGTATCAGCATGTCTCCGATCTCCAGAGTAGACCGCAGTCCAAAGTAGGCTTGGATTTTTACAATATATAAAACAGTAAACTGATAACAGACATTAAAGAAAGACTGCGTCTATAAAGCAAAGAGAAGAATAGGGATAGTACACCCATACACTGTGCAAGAAGCATAGCTTTTCCCCACACTTTTCCGGTATTCCCTATTATTGCCCACATGTGCGATCGTGGCCAAAAAATAAAGATTTTAGAAGTGAAGAAGAAAGAAAGAGTGTAGGAGGTGCCTCGAGGGTCCGAGGACTTAGAGAAGGAGAACAGAGGGGTAGGAAAGAGGGGGGGGTGGGGGAGGCCCTTATCCTATCCAGTGCCCGACCTGTGTCTGCGGTGTCCTCTGCAGTGTGATTATGGAGCTTAGCAAAAAATTCCGTAAACACTTTGGCTATCTCTGTGGGGTTCGTCTGACACTCTCCCGCTGCATTTTTGATCCTTGTGATGTGAGTGCCCCGTTGAAGCGGTCGAAGTGATCTTGCCAACAAAGTATCCATCTTGTTCGCCTTTTCATAGTAGTTGCGTTTGGACCATACGATAGCTCTCGCGGTGTCGTCTAGAAGCGTTTCCCTAATCGAGTGCCGTACGTCCTGCACCGCCGTTAAGTTGGTAGGTGTAGGATCTGACTTATGCCATTGTTCTGCCATTCTTAAAGCTGCCAACAATGACGTTAATAGTTGATACTTCCGTCTTTTCTTCAGTGTCGCTTCCCTAATCAAAATACCTCTAATAACAGTCTTATGAGCAGCCCACACCGTGGCTTTCGAGACCCCTGACTCCGCTTCTCTGGTGAAGTAATCCTTGAGTTCTTTACGAACGATGTTGACGATTCCTAGGTCTTGAAGTAAGGATCTGTTCAGCTTCCAGGACCAAGGGGACGACACGTTCAGTTTATCCAATGTATGGGAGACATCCGCGTGATCCGACCACGTTATGGAACCCACTGTAGAGTCCGAGACCTTGGGAATAGCTAGTGAGTTGACCAGGAAGAGGTCTATTCTAGAATACGTATCGTGAGGCGACGAATAAAACGTATAGTCGATATCGTCCGTATGCTGAGCCCTCCAAATGTCTACCAGACCTGTTTGTTGCATGAACGTGTGCAATAATTTGTCCTGCCCCCCCCTCCTGTGTGACCGTGGAACTCCCCTGCACGGCCCCCTATCCATCGCCGGGGTCGGAGCAGCATTAAAGTCGCCCCCTACCACAGCAATGCCGTGTGGCAGCTTGAGCACTATGCCCGTCTGTTCCGCCCAGAATTCACTGGATGGCATTAGGGGCATAGACATTGAAAAAAATGCATAACCTGAGAATGCAAGGACCCCGATACCAGAACTTAGCGCCCACCCGGGTCTGTACTAACCTTGCTAACTCTGAATGGGCATCTATGATGCACGAGAATGGTGATGCCATTCCTCTTATTGAGGGCTCTGGCTTCGTACGTGGTCCTGAATAAATGATCCTTAAGGGCAAACTTCGCCGATTTCGGCAAGTGTGTCTCCTGCAGGAAGGCAATTCGGGGTTCATGCGCCTTAGTTCCCTAAACATAAGCTGTCTCTTATTCGGGGCGTTCAGGCCTTTAACATTAAGGGATATTAGTTTCACAGGCATGATTTATCTTGTAAGATATCTCTGAATGTAAGCTTTCCGATACGTCTAATCGTAATCAAACAAGTCTGGGCTGCCATTGACTCCCCCCCCAGAGGAGATGTAGAAGGAGAAAGAGTAGTAGGGAATAAAGACAGAAAAAGTATAAAGGAAAAGAGAAGAAAAAAACCCAAAAACTTTGTACATGTATTGCCTGGTCTTACCTATCGCCAGGCGTAATTGGGGTAAATGTCCCGACATCCCAAGAATGACAAAAGACCCCTGGGGTGTTAGGGACATGGACCAGCCAATAAAGGCACTACTAGAGTGCCGCTTTCATCACAATTAAAACAAAACATACTATAACCTGTGCCTCCATGCAGAGTGGAAAAGGCTGCTATGAGGGATATAGCGAAGGGCGCAATTTTGAAGGCTGGGGCAAAGTATCAAATACAGTTCATTTCATTTCTACAACTTTTTCCTTTTTTTTCCTCTTTTTAAAATTTATTTTTTCTCTCTTTTTTTTTTCTTTTCCTTTCCTCTCTCTGTGTCCCAGCGGAAATCTGGGGGAGGGAGCGGTCTCAATGCAAAATACGGTGGTACGAGGGACACGGAAGAGACACAGTTCTGCAACACACCCTAATACAGTACATTTAAACACACAAAGAGCCCGAGAACTTAAAGAAGTGGGGACTGACGTCTCCCGGCATGTAGGGGCACTCCTTAGGGGTCATAGTCAGACAGGGAGCTGGTCATATGAAGGCCAATGGTTAGGAGGAAGCGGGAGCGCATGATGCCATCTAATAAAGGATTTCCTAACATATCACATTTATACCTCTATACCTCCCCGATGTCCCCCACCAACGGGGAGACAAGAAACAGAGAAGCCCCAATCGCAAGGCCCTTCGCCGCTACCGCCCCCTCCCCCCCCATCATGGTACGACCACTGGGGGTTCCGTCAGGGTGCCCCACGACCCCACCCCACCGGCCCAGAGGAAGGATCCACACCAGCCCCCCCGACCCCAACAGACGTCCAAACATACCCCAATAGAAGCGCTCTCAGGGCCCAAACATGAGTACACAATAAAGCATATAGGAATAACCAGGCATCCGCCACCCCCACCCCCCGATCAAACACATTTATTAACGTGAACAAGTCCTCAAGGGGAGTCAATGCCGCGGTACGCGGAAGTCCCGTGGCCCACTCCGAGGCGGTATTAGGGAGAAGCAGCGGAAAAAAAAGCCCGATCACCCCGTCTCCCAACAGCCCCGCCACCCACAAAAAGAAGCAACGACCCCACCCATCTCCGCTGCCCCCAGAAAAAGAGGAAAGGGATATAAAACGCAAACAGACAGCAAAAAAATAAAAAAATTAAAAAAAACTTGCTCGGTCCGATAAACATCCCTAGCCCACCCAACGAGGGGAGGATACCCTCCCCAAACAAGCCAAGACCCGGGAATATCCCTTGCAGCCCTAACGGCCGCTCCCAAACTGAGCCCCCATGAGGGCACCTCGTAGCAGGCCAGGCCCCAAAACCCGCCATCCCATACGCATCCTACATACCCTCCCCTAGACTCTCAGCCAGCGCGATTCCCTTCCAGCCGACTCCCCGTGTATCCGGACCATCCGATATCCGTGAGCCTCAGTCGTCCGGCTCGTACCACTCGCGGGGGAGGGGACACAGCATCTCCTCAGCCTGGGGGAGCTCCATCAACGGTATAGGGTCCTGTATGCCGAGAAACTCCAGGAATTCCACCGGGTCTCCATCTGCATTCAGGATTTTAGTGCGACCATCCTTAAAGGCCAGCAGCCGGAACGGGAAGCCCCAGGCATATTTCACCCCATGCTTCTGCAGAAGCCACGTCACCGGTCGCCAAAGCCTCTGCTTTTGGAGGGTAGCTGGAGTTAAATCATGGAACAGGGTAAGTTCCGCCTCGCCATATCGAATAGGGCCTTCCCTGCCACGCAGCATAAGGGCTTCTTTCGTCCTGTAAAACAGGAATTTAATAATCACGTCTCTCGGGCAGGCATCATTCGCCCGTTTCGCCCTGAGGGCCCTGTGCGCTCTCTCTATGTGCCATTGGTGATCCGGCATGTCAGGTAGCAGAAGCCTTAGGATCTTGGACACCACTCCCATCAGCGGAGCCCCATGAGGGACGTACTTGCATATGTGGGGGGAATGCCCAACTATAGTCAGATTCTGGAAATCCGTAGAGACCTTGTTGAAACAGGTTTTTGATAGACAGGAGAAGGGACAGGATAAATGATAGAGTGCGTGAGTGCATTTATTAACAGCGCAAGATCTATTTTACATACTGTATTACACTATTTTGTGTTTATATGTTCTCTCTATAGATTATACAGCCTTATCCCTATTCTGTTTGTGGTTTTCTATAGATGGCATATCCTTTCAAGTCAATATTTCGGAAGTCCCTCTCAGCCATACCCGGTGGGAATGCCCTATTGCCAAGTAGCGGCATTAAGGGAGAAGGTGAAGATGCCAGACCATACTTAACGTTGGTAGGGTCCCATATCCTCAGTGAGTTGAGGATTGCTGGGCAGGTCACCCTGACCATAGGTCTGTGTTCCCTGGGAACCCACATAATGTCGGCTCCCACCACGAGGAACTCAATTTCCACTCATTTCCGGTCATCAGGAGGGGAGTGCCACATAGACACTTGCGTCAATTGTGCAGCTAAATAGAAGTAAAGGTTCGGAAGGCCTAGTCCACCTCTATTCTTCTGTCGGTGTAGTACCTGTCTGGATATTCTGTGTCTTTTAAAGGTCCCTATTGCTCGTTGTAAGGGTATCAGGTGATATTTAGTGATGCGAGTGGGTAGTGCCTGAAACAGGAATAGGATGCGCAAGAGTATGTTCATCTTGACGGAGTGAATCCGCCCTATCCATGAGATGGGTTTGTCCGTCCATTTTTCCATATTGCTAATCAAAGTTTGAAATAGCGGTGAGTAGTTAGCAGCATGCAGTTTCAAGTGGATCCCCAGGTATTTTAGAGTGTCTTTTTCTAGTTGCACATGATAAGTGTCCCGCAGCCGGGCCGTGACACCCCCCACAGGTAGGGCGCTAGACTTAGTGATATTTGCCTTGTATCCTAACACGGCCCCAAATTCCTTTATCAAGTCCTGTAGCGCCCACATCAAATCCTCCGGGTTCGTGAGTGTCAAGAGTACGTCATCAGCGTACGCCGATACCTTAAATTCTCTACCTCCAACACCGACTTCCCGAATATTTGGGTGTACCCGAATCGCCTGTAAGA